GAGGACCCTGTACTGGTACGCTTTTTCTCCAAAGGCGAACCTGAGGAACTTCCTGTGTCGCCGTACGACCTGGATGTGGAAATAAGCATCCTTGAGGTCTACCGTCACGAACCAGTCCCCCAGCCGGATATGAGATATGATGGCCTTCAGCGTCAACATCTTGAATTTTCCCTTGTAAAGAGAGAAATTCAACCGGCGAAGATCTAGTATCGGCCGCAGGCCGCCCCCCTTCTTCGGGACCAGGAAGTAACGGCTGTAGAAGCCCTGTTCGACTTCCCCCGAAGGAATCTCTTCTATCGCCCCCTTCAGCAGAAGGGATGAAATCTCCTGCTGTAGTACAGAAGCCTGAGCGGCGCTGTCGACTACAGTAGGAAAGACCCCGTTGAAGCAGGGGGGGTTGCGACAAAACTGAAGCGTGTAGCCGAGCCGAACTGTGCGAAGGATCCAAGGCGATACCCCTGGTAAACGCTCCCATTCTTGAACGAAATGTGATAGAGGGAGAGGAGTGTTGCAGTGCAAGGGACATACCTGAGGTAGGGTGTCACGCTGGTTCCCATGGGGAGGCGCGGATGACCGTGGAGGAGAGCGCTTGGCGTCCTGACACGTACTGGGGGGTACCACCACCTGGATAGAAGTAACTGGGTCCGCCTGCTCCAGAGGAAAACGAACTGTGCCTCCGAGGAAGCGATTGGCGGGTGTAACGTGCACCGGGAGCGAGGGGAGAAAGCAAGACGCGTCTCCTTCCTCCTGCGCCGGACTGGGCGAAGAGAGTGAAACAGGACCTGCACTTCGAAACACGCTGGGTGGCGAAGGTGACAAGGTTGGATGAGGAGAGCCGGGTGGAGGAGGGCAGAAACGCTTGCGCGGTCTGTCCCAACCTCGTAGATCTGGTGAGGCTCTCCTCCTTCTGACCTGCGGGTCAGGAACGGCTCGAGGAGGCTGGAGCGGCCGATTTGTTGGACCGCTTCAGCTGAAGGCGCTTGTGAGGGCGCTGGCGGGGAAATGGACGACCTCGGGCTCCCCAGACCGTAGTTGGAGGGTGGTGAGCCGGGTCACTCCTGCTAGTAGGGAATTCAGCCCTATGAGCAGAGCGTTCTCGGGTTTGAGAAGGGGAAGGGTTGGAGTCTCTTGGCCCTCTGACCCTCCTGGGCATAAACTGCCTGAACGCGGCCGACTGAGACTTAGCGGCGCGGAACTTCTCAACCACCGTGTTGACCGCCTCCCCGAAAAGACCTGAGAGGGAGATAGGGGCATCCAGGAGGAAACTCTTATCCTTGTCTCGGATCTCCGTGAGATTCAACCAGAGGTGGCGCTCTGCAGCAACCGAGCCCGCCATAGAGCGACCAACAGCCCGAGCAGTGTGTTTGGTGGCTCTTAGGGCCAGATCTGTGGCTTTGCGAAGCTCTTTGACAGCTTCGGGCGTCAGTCCCTCTCCTTCATCCATGTCCTTCAAGACGTCCGCTTGGTAGGCTTGAAGGATGGCCATGGTATGCAGGGCCATGCCTGCTTGACCAGCCGCCATGTAAGACTTCCCAATAAGGGAGGAAGTAGTCCTACAAGCCTTGGAAGGAAGAAGGTGACGCGCCTTCCAGGACGGTGCAGACGACGGGGCGAGGTGGTTAGCCAGCGTGTCCTCGACCGCTGGAATAGCGGAATAACCCTGCTCCACAAAACCCACAAGGTTGGTGCGGAGAAAGGCTGCTTCCAGGATCTGGAGATCTCGTGATGCAGATCGCTGAAAAAGGGCAGCTTTCTTCGCTCTGGCCTAGAATTAGGGCCACGTAGGAACCTCTCGTCGAGTTTGGACGATTGAGACTCGCGGGGCTCATCAGGCCAGTCAATAGAGAGCTTCTCTGTAGCGCGCGACAGCACGTCAATAAGCTCAGTGTAGGCCGGAGTAGGCCGCGCGTCCTGGCCGCTAGGCGGGATAACGTCATCAGCCAAAGCAGGCCCGAAATCCTCGGAGTCGGAGGCTGCAGTGTAAATCACGTCATCCAGACCGAAAGAAACCGATTCGCGGGCTCCCGGGCTGGGGCATAAATAATCATGCGCGAATTCAACCGCGCCGCGTGCGTGCTCGGGAGAGGGAGGGAGAGAAAGGGCGAGGCCCGTCTGCTCATACTCAATATCCTCGAGCTCAACATCCGAGCCCAGGCCGCGGATCCACGAGAGGCCTCAGCAGTCTCGGGAGCGCGACGGGGGGGGAACGAAAGACTCCTTCTCAAAAACCGCGAGTCTAGAGCGGAGGGTTTTGAGAAGGAGATTGTCACAAAATTTACATTTCGACAATCCTAATACAGCCTCACGCGCATGCGAAAAACCCATACATTTAACACACTTACTGTGAGGGTCGTCGTTCGAGATAAAACGAACGCATGGCGGAGAGCAGCGTCGATAATCCATGACACTTCACTGTAAGGAGAACAGAGTTCCACTTATACCAGTCGCTGAAGTGTCGAGACGAAAGCTGAAGTTGAATTTGAAGAATTCGGGCTCAGAAAAACCGAACGAAGGGCGAGATGTGACTGCTTCGTTAAGGCAGAGAAATCTGAGGAGAAGATGGCGCGCGCGCGTTCATCATGCTACGACGTAAGAGCGTCGGGGCAGAGCCAGCTTTGCGCGAGCGCCATCAGCCAATGAATTGGCGTGATTCTATAGGGCTTCAGGCAATCGGCACATCCAGAGGATATCCACTGCGCTTTCCGCAGCGTTGAGTGAACCTATGAAAGAGAACACTTTGCCGTGGGTGCCTTTTCCAGGCATGTTTATACCTTAAAGTAGCTTTTTTTGGGTTAAAAATTATCCAAAATAATTTTTTGAGCAAATACATAACCAGTTCAAAACTATCTGCTTATTGCCTTAGCTCGATTCAAAACGGTAAGCTTGTAATAATGTTTTTAATTCCAGTGGTTATGGTGGATTTCCGCGGGAGATTTGAGCATGTCTTTGCGTCATTACGTCACATCTGTACACATGAAGAAGGAGTCTCGGCTAGTAGCCTATTGCGTGTGAGGATGTTGGAGGTGGAGATTTATAGCCTTTTCTCACAGCACTTGATATAATTAAACTTATCAATTTGATGGCAGATCCAGAAAGGTTCAAACGACAATCAACAGAGACAACTAGAGATTCACCCGTTGTAAAATGCAAAAGACTCGGAGTGGCTACAGAAAAAAAGAGACTGCAACCGGACCCATGCGAAAACAAGGATACATCGGAAGGGAATTAAATGTAGTCACGCAATGCTGATGTTGAACATGAACAATTTGAGAACAAAGTATAATTTGCACGGTTTTACGTGATATGATAAGCAATTGTTGGATTTAATCAGCACGATTTACTACAATGATTTTTTTCCCCGTTGGTCAGAACCAGAACAAAAGTGGATGTTACTTACTTGTTCAGATGACATTTTCCGTTGAAAATTATTATGTTGGTCATACTTCCAAAAAGAATAATCTGTCTGAATGCTAGTAGGCCTATCCACACCGGCGGGGTGACTGACAGCTGCACACTCTCCTCAAACATTGGATTCATCCGCGCTGTGCCTTGTCGAAGTACAACTCACGTAAAGTTGATAATTCCGCGAATAACTGCAATTGCAGATTTCGAACAGAGATGGCGACAAAGAGGAAAAACTGCGGACTGCAGCGAGATGTAGGCTAACAGGTTTGACAGTTTTTCAAAATTCAATTTGACATTATTAGTCTTGTGCTCGAAGGTCTTGAAACTACAGGTGCTTGCTTAATAATTATATTTCTATAATAGTTCAATTGTTTACTATACAAAACCAAGGTAAGAGTGGATACATTTTTTTAATGATCCCCTAAACAACATAAGTGATCAAGTGAGTCCTTGAAAACTTCAATGGCAATGTCTAGGACAAAGTTTTATTGATTTAATTCAGTGCCGCTAGGAGAAAACTTGATAACAGGGGTGTGATGCATTTTAATTTGCACATTTTGTAGAATGGCTCTTGGATTTTTTTTGTTTTTTTCTCTGCATCAACTGTTTAAATGACACAGTAGACATATAAAGACAGGGATACAAATGGAGACATTTGGATTTTCTATAGTTGTTCATTATTATATGACTGAAGCTATTCCCTCTTTGGTAGGCTATTAGCTACTGTATGTTGCATGTCTGAGCTAAAACTGCTTATCAAACTACATTTTAATACCAGTTGTGTCTTGTCTGGACCACGATGATGCAAACTTGTTAAATATGTACTTCCAGTGTGCATCCAATAATTACAGAGTGACACATCAAAGTAGGCTTTATAGGAGGACTTTAAGATAGGATTGAGGTGAATGTTATCTATTACTCACGTGACGTCACGAGTCTGATTACCTCACTTGAGTTTGACTCTTCCTCACCTCGCTAGCTCCATATTACACATTTTTAATTATTCAAAATATTTATTTTATTGTGTATTATATTTATTTAATTTTAAGGCTAAATTAATTTTTTTCCCTATGGAGACAAAAACTATTATTTTCTTAATATTTTTTTGACTTATTGTTGTTGTATTATTAATGAGACCAGCTTTACATGTAACCTACTAGTACAGGCAGCATAGAGACAATTTAAAATTCAACTGTGAAATTGATGTGATCTTGAGTAGCCTATGCAGTCACATTTCTTAACGTCCTCCCACTTTTCTTTTGCTTTCAGCAGGCTTTTTCTATCGTATGGCCTGTCCTTTTCCAGCTATCACTCTGATGAAACCGAGTAACTTTTAGATTTATGTCAAATAATTTTCCGTATCCTCGGGACAGGGATGAGATCGTGTCTCTCAGGTGAAACATCCTAACATGACACTGTTCCCGCAGGCTGAGGCGAAACAAACGTAGGAGGGATGCCGAAGCAATGAGGTCACACGACAGTTTTCACTCTGACGCGTTAACGGCCCGTCCCGTCCCGTCAAACCTGTGAAGGGGAGGGGAGAGTCTGTCAAAAAAAACCTTTCAGCTCGCGGTTAGACCTGCACCGAGGCTATTTATTATTCAGCGTATCGGACGAGATCAGAACAAAACACAACACCGACGAACTCGCGCGCGCAGTGGGATATTCAACTTCTGCTGTTATTTTACTTTACCGAAGCACTATTGTCTTTTTAGTGTAGAAGCATTCAGCTAAAATGAATCGAATGGGGAGTATGTGCACATTTGATGAAATCAAATGGGATGACAGAATGGTATGTAGGCTACCAATTTATTCACTACTTATTGTTTAATGTCTATTAGAACATCAAATGTGCTCGATTGTTTGTGTGTTTGTTTTATTTAAATGTATCTGCATATGTTTGCACAGGTCTGAATAAAGTTGAATGGCTATCTACACATACTCTTCTTGTATGAATAAGCACGAGTAAAAATGTAACTTAGGCCTAGTAAAATAAAATAAATAAAACTACCAGTAAGTTTTAAGGGAAAATGTTTACACATCTTGACAAAGTTTCGGGGTCATTTTCTCAACATAGGCTACTCATAAAAGAGAACTTTGATCCCATGTGAGGCATTTCTTCCTGCTCTGTGTTCCTGGTTGGGCCATTTTCTACCACTTATTTAAATGGTTTAGTGCTTCATTCATTAATTTATATCGTCAAAATGAAGTTTAAACCAAAATACCTAAGTGCGACTCTTTATTGATTAACAGTAATGTAATGTGGCAAACTGCACTAAATCTCCTTTACCTCCACGTGTCCTTCTCTGTGTGCACAACAGATGCTTAATCAGGTTTAATGTCACTTGATATTTGGTTTCACTAATAACCTGCTGTGAGAGGAATTTCTGCCAACATGGAGAATAGTTAATCCAAATGCCAGCTGTATCTGTGTCTGTTCAATCACCAACATATAAAGTTCTGTATATAAAGAGTTTGAATTAGATGATTATTAACTTGATCTTTCCATCCAGGAGTGTTGCTGGGCAGCCTTGTGCCCGTATTTTTTTATGGCCTCTTTTTGTTCCACAGAAGGCTAGCCTAATGGAAAGGTCTGTGCTAGAAGATAGGAAGAGAGATAAGGCTCAAGTATTTGCTTGATTGTGGCAGGTTTCCTTCCTTGTTTTAACACGATGGCCATTCACTCTGACTTGACTATTCAAGTCTGACTTAAAGCACTGTATTGTATGTTTTTCAGCAGCTACAATTTTTGCATGTATTCCGTTTGCAAATATGAAAACAGAACATCATGCACTGCTTTCTCAACTCGTCAAGCATTACAAGGTCAAATACCATTTGAGATGCATTCTTTAGAGTCACATGCTTAAAGATTCTCTTCTGAAAGGACTTGTAATGATTTCATGTAGTTCTCTAGTAGATTAGGGTGAAAACTTGTTTAGTTGCTTTAATTTTTTACTTTTATTCTTTATCTTATTTTAAAATGATTTGGAAAAGAAAAAGCAAACAAATCAAAATATTTTTTTTCCCTTTTTCATGTGGAATGAAAACCAACAATAGCTCTTTTGTAGGTATATTGTTTTTGCAAGTTTAGCTGGATGACCTTGTAAGGCAGATGACCTTGGTTATGTAACGTGTTTCCCTTTTTTTTATTTACTTTTTTTTTTATCTTTGTTCAACCAGCTGTGTCTGTACTTTCTCTCTCATCCATTTTGCTCATTAACCGCTCCCTCTATAAATCCCTCTTTCACATTTGGCATAGGTTTAGGAGTCAAACAACAAATATTTAACTTCTAACCTGTATTTACTCACTCTTTATGTGACTTCTGTGAAAATGATGCCTCTCTCATCAAGTTCGCATTATGAAGCAGGTTGCATGATAGTCATTAGGGTGATATGCAGTACAGTGCATACAGTACAGTAGCAACAAATATGTCATTTGTACACATGTCAAAAGTTGGCTTGCTGTGTTGCCTTGAGGTGACAAAGTTCCACAGAACATTGTGGTTAAATTATCTTGTGTTTTGTTTTGTCTTGTCAACACTGGAATGACTTGAACAATAATGAATATTTAAGTTTGTTGTAAACTCATTTGTTTATTACTAATGTAAACTTATTTATTGATTATCAGAGTTAGTGTGCAATGGCACTAAAAGGGAAGAAAATGGCTTTATGGTTGCAAAAGACAATTAAAATGATAGAAAACAAATATCTAATTTTATTGAATATTGATATAACAAAATAAAACTTAATATAACAACATAAAGAAGAGCCCAAGGGGGACTTTTGTGATATGGCAACTTGTGCAAATATTTTTGATATAGCAACACATTTTGAACAACATTTAAGTACACACTTCCGTTTAAAACAGCCCCTTTAGCTAATTTATTTTTCTAATTTATTCATTCAATGATATTTGGCATGTCATAACCTTTATATTTACTTTAAGTACTTCAAAGTACTTTAAGTTTATTTCATAAACTTAAATATTTTATTAGAAATGGATCCCAGTTTTTCTTGTTCTGACATTGAGATGTATGATGCCATTATTAATGTTTCAGTTCACTCAGATTCAGTGTTTGTGTAAAGTCACCATTGTCTATGTACAGTCTCAGGTTTCAGCAGCTATTCAGATTTCTCGCGTGACCTTTACATCTTACCGAGGAAAAACTCTTGTGTGATTAGCCAAGTCTTTTGTCTGTCTCTTTGAGGGGTCCAGAGGCCTGTATCCAATGACACATTCCACTCACGACTCTCAAACAATCTCTCTATTTTCCCTCTCTTCATCACCCATCCCTTTCTCTATGTCCTGTGTGTCTCTCTCCCCTTTGTACCTCACACCTGCGTTCAGGTTTCACTCTGACCTGGTTTGATTTTCAGTGAACAAACGCCTTTGCACTCTCTCTCCATCTGTTATTAATCGTCTGTTTGCTTTCCAAATACCTTGGTGCCACCACCTCTCTGTTTTTCTCGATTTCCTTGGTACACAAAATATGCAAATCTCACAGAGCTGTTATATAATCTCTGAATAATGATCATTCCTGTGTGACAGTGTTTGCTCAGCCAGAGGCTTTGTGTGTGTATTTGTGTCCATTTAAATGAGCTATGTTGTGGTATAGGAGAGTTTTTGTATGTGGCGCTAGTATGTTGTAATCAAAAGCCTGTTGTTCTGATGCCTCAAGCAGAATCCTCACAAACTCCTTTACACGTAGATTTTTTTTAATCCTCTCCCATTACAGGCGTGATAATTGTGTGCCGGTTGCGTGTCATCTTGCAGGTGTGTGTGTTGAGTGTCTTTGTTGCTTTCTTGGGTTGAGGTGTGGTGTTGAACTTGGCTGGCTCGACTCTAAATGCTGCTTTGCCTTCTATGGAAACACCCAATTCGCACACAGTTGCGGGACGTTCCAGCGATTAGTAGCCTACCTCAGGTAAATATATTAATGCATAATTCATTATTATGAGTTTGTTTACAGTCCTAAAAAAGGTTTTGTCACTGTTTTGTTAAAACTGACTATTCGGTTGCCTTCCGTCTTTTCTGCCGATCATCCTGGTAGTGTAATTGTGGTTTTGTTTTGTTTATGGGATTATGATAAATGTGCTGTTTTGGCCAGGTGGGTCGAGATGTGGCTGTGTTTTGTCTAGTGATTTAGTAAGCATTACAATAATAATAGATCTTTTTTTTTTTTACTTGGACAGCTTGCCTTCGCAAACTTGCATCACTAGACTAATTCTGAAATCCCTCTTGATGACATGTAATACAACAGTGTGTAACTTCCAGCCTTACATGGAATGTTTTTGACCATAAGGTCCTTTGTAATCGACCAAAATTTCAACTGCTGAGTGTGTTGTTGTGGTTTGTTGAACTGCATAGCATCATGCATGCTATTGTTAGTTTGTTGTCTGAGGTCTTTTTTTTTACATACAGGGTACTCTGTATCCTCATACTGTGACAAAACACATGTATGTCGCCATATGATACATACAGCAACAGTACATATAGTATTGTGTAACAGCTGAACTGTGGAGGTTTGTACACATATATACAGTTACTATCAGTGTTTATCTGTTTACTGTTGCTGTTTCTGTGAACTGGAAGCTTTTTCTGCCACCAAGACTATTTTTTTTCTCCTGATCTTGACATAACAAAATATGTTTTCTCATGATCTCGCCTCAAGAGAAAAAAAGTTGGCCAGCCACAACTATTTGATCTGCATCTGTCAAACTTAATTTTGTAACCACACATGTCATGTTCCCTTGAGTTGGTTGCCATAAAATAGACCACATGTTCACAGTCAATATAGTGTTTGATAAAAACTTGTTTGAAAAAGTTGTAGCCTCTTCCTTAGTGTCAGACACTGATTTGGAAGTAAAATAACTTGGATAGATGGAGCTGCATCAGCTTGAGTCAGTCCCTGATCAAAGTAAAAAATGAATTTTCTCATTTATAATGCACTTTGTATCTCATATTCTGTCACGGTATTGCATATCACTGTATCATCCCTGTACATTTGTACTATTATAGTGAACTCATTGCAGGTCAGGATGTCAACTGCACTGTAACAGTAATCTCCTATTATACCCCATTCACTCATGTCTCCTCCTATTTTCATATTCCTTGTCATTTACACTCCACCATTCTATTGCCTTCTATATTACTCAAATAACAACTGCCCTAATTACAGTAAATATGAATCACGTCTAATCTAATAGAGTGTGACTGAAATGTGTCTGTCTTATGTAAATGTGTAATGTCCCCTCCTTCACCATTGACTTTTTAGCCACTTGATCTTCACCCCAGTAATGACCATGGACAATTTCACAGTCCGTTCAGGCCTGTTTCACACATATTTGATAAATATGTCACAGTTTGTGCATGCTGTCTGCCACACACTCTCTTTCAGGACATCTCGTCCCACCATGACTCACTCACACTACTTTTAGAGTCAGCAGACTCTACTGGATTCATGCTTGGACACACACACATTTATCCATCCATCTGTGGTTGGTTTAATTTTTCCACTCGTCATTGTTTTATATATTTGATCAGATTATGTTCCTGAATACCATATACAGTTTTATAACAGGCTAACTTCAGTATCTCTTCATTTGGTTAAGTGAATGTTATCGTATGTTGTGTACAAGTTGTTTTGTTGCCAAAGCTTTATAGTCTCTGCTTTGCCTCTTCCTTACTGTGTCTAACATACATAGTTTATGTTGTTGATGGGTGTCTGGGTTGTCATGGTGATATTCCGTTCTGCGCTGGAGTGCATTGTTCCGTTTAGATTTGTGGCATCCCGCCTCCATTTTTGTGACGATTTAAATTTACATTCAAATACAAAATTTTGGCAAAGCCTGCAAGGCTCAAGAATTTTCCAGAAGCTGGGGAACGAATCAAATCAGATTTTGTAGATATCCTAGAGTCTGGACTGTAAATGCCTTTCGCTTTCGCTTTTTTTCTTTCACATTGAGTAACCGCAGACCTTCATGCCAAACTTTAACGGGCCATTGGCCTCCAGTCAGTCTCTCTCTCTCTGAGGGCATTACTCAGTTTCTCCTCCCCACATGTTCCCCTCATCCATCCATCCCACCCTTTCGCTCTCTATAACGGTCTCTTTGTTGCATCCCTCACTCACATTTGTGCTTCTCTTCATGTCATTATTCAGAACGGGCACAGAAGGCTCAGACTGACTCTCCACGAGCAGAACCAGCAGCAGCAGCTCACCACGGAGAAGGTAAATGTCTCTTTCTGTTTCACGTGTAGTAAATAGATGAGCGGTAGATGATCTGGTAGTGACATTTGCAGATGTCAAATTCAAATTAAATGTTTTATTTTAACATTTACGTAAGATTTTAAAATATATTTGACTGAGTGAACTCTGAGTGAACTTTCCATTTCTGATTCTGGGAAGGTTTTTTTAAGAATGCATTCCTGCATTGAATTTCTGATATTTATACTTTAGCTGAAGTTATACCAGAATGTTCCACTATAATACCAGCACAGTAGCTAGTATTACTTTAGTGTTAAAACTAACTTTAGCTGAACAATAACATTATTCTAGAGCTGTTGTAAAGCCAAAACAATCTCTGTTACTTTAATTCCCTATTATCACTGTAAAGCTGCTTTGGAACAATCTATATTGTTAAAAGCGCTATATAAATGAAGGTGACTTGACTTGACTATTATTAAGCCTGACTTAATTTGCTGTCCAATATTTAATGCTTATGTTTATACACATTTATGTCAATTTAGATTTAGATCACATCAGATACAATTAGCATGTTTTGATGTTTTCTAGTTGTGTTTTGTATGTTTATGCTTAATTATTTCTACTGTTGTTTTTGGCCTGATTATTTCTGGTTATGCTGTGATAGGGATTCTGTGGAATCAGTTCTGATTAACTTCAGTGGAATTACACGCCCCCAACCCCGTACCCTTCCCCCCACACACGCACATTCTCATTGGTCTGTTTCTCTTTCTCTGTCTATCTGCCAAAGCCCTATAAACATAAGGAACATGTGGCTGTGTTCCAGGGGACGTTCTTGTAGGACCAGAGGCTCATTGTTTCAGATTCCAGAAATTGCGCAACTTTCCATGTTCCTTTTCCCACATATAGTGGGAAAGCCCCATTCTTGCTCTTAAGGGGTTTCCTGCTACCCTTTGTGTATCATAGTTATTTATACTTCGCATTTAGAAAGGGGCCCTTGTTTTCTGCAAAGACATGCAAATGTAAAGTTTTGATTCTGAAAAAGTTAGACAGTATTTAACTGAATGACTATGTAAATTCTAGACAATTAAGGCATTCTATTTAGTGTCGCAAGACATAAAAGAGCAGTTAATAGACATACTATGCATGCCCATACTATTGGCATTTAATATGTATTTTTCTTGTCATTCCAGCCAATTGGCAGAGCTTTTGCCTTGGTACAACCAACCTATGAAAGGCAGCCACTGAAGACTGATCTTATCAAGCCGTCTGAGGACCAGGGTGAGGTCATCAAGGTGGGTGTGTCTTTAAATTTTAATTATGGATCATGTACATTTGGAAGTTTGACCTGTAATGTAAAACTATAATTGAATTTGTAGTTGGCAGAATTAGACTAAAATGTAATTGAGGCACTTGGTGAAATCAGTGATGTCAATGCTTATGTGCTTATGTTTTCTATAATCTTGTCAGGTATACCTTGAAGACCGCAAAGAAGCACAAGTCAGACACCAACAGAGTCTAAAGATGCTCTCAGAGGAAGTTTCACAAATACAGGAGGTGAGAGCAAACATCCTCAGTATCATTTCCCACTTTTCTATGTTTGGCTGTTTTCAGAACATGTGTTTTAACATTGTTGTACTGTGTGCAGGTGAGATATTGTCTAAAGAACCTCAGAGAGCAGATGGCAGCTAAAAGTCACAGAACAGAACACGAGGTGAGACAAGAAATCACATCAATTTGAAGATATACACGTTCTTCGAAGCTAGATTAACAATAAAATGTTAACTAACTCTCATTTTCTCACCCTCAGCTGGTGTTATCTAGTACTGGTCCTAGAAAAGTTAATGGCACTTATTCAGTACTTACACAGACCCTGAATGGCTTAGAGAGACAGGTGAGAGTTTAATGTGCCCTGTTGCTTTGCACACACACACACACACACACAGGTTATCAAGTTGAGATTATATATTTAATTGTGCATGGCATGCTTATTTCCACTATTTCTATTCAATCATTAAAAAAAAAAACACTAAAGCAATCTTCAGCAAATATCCAAATGAATATGCATTTTTCATAGAACATTGTTATATTGTGATGCCAAATTCACTGCTTTTAGCTTTTAGTGTTTTATTTTTAATTCATTTAGACAAAATAGAATCAAATTTTAACATCTGCCATTTATTGGTTATCAGACTTAACATGACAATAATTTTCAGGTTATCAATATTGCTTAGAATGTTATCTGTGCATCCCTAATTTGTTTATTCCCATAAACCCAAACCTAACCCTCTTATAAACCTACTGACATTATTTGATTTAAAGTAAAACATGATTTATGAACCACCTCAGATGTAAATACTCTTCGCCTGTTTGTAATGACCAGCGTGCTTCAGTCATGTTATATAATGTGCTGTGAGTAAAATCTGTATCCTTTGGGTGATAATAGTTTTTTTTTTCATTTAGGTAATTGCTTATTCACACCTTCATTAACAAATCTCCACAGTCTGTTACTACACAGCACATCAACAAACCTGCAGCGGTAAACACCCGTTAGTGTTTGTGTTATCCAGGAGCTAGTGCAGAATTAATCACCAAGGAAACCACACAAAAATGCACAGCTTGGGAAACATGTTAAGCCACCTGCAATAATTATCTTTGGTTCTCCCTGATCGCTGGTATTTGTTCAACAGGTTTTAATGTTTCTCACATTCTTCACATTCTTGTCTTTTGTTGCTTGATGAAGCTAAATGTGGCGGCAGCAGATTCTGAATGAATAGTGCGGATTAGCCTCCCAGTGGGATGTGTGTGTCTGGGTAGTTAGAGCAGGAATATGGGTGGAAAAGCTGAGCTATGGCAGCATACGTCAGTGTTTTACTCTTAGAACACACGCCCTGTTGACGCACGTACAGAGAAGATCCCTCCCTCTTTCTCTCGAACTTACATTGTCCTCTCCCACTCAAGCATGTCTATAAATAACTGCTGGGAGAGATGTGGGCGTGTTCCAATGGAAATATTTTTTTGAGGACATTTTGTTTGTGTGACTGTAATTTGGTTTATAATTAAGCAACGTTTGCTACTATTTTTTTTATTGCTTAAACCACTATGTTGTGTAACTAATGCAAGACACATGTAACAAGTACATGAACACACATACAAACAAACTCGACTGTCACCAAACAAATTCCAGAATGTTTTCATTAACATTTTGTTGCTATATTCTGTTCTGTCTCTCCAGGATAGTGTGGATGAGCAGGAAAAAGAGAAGATGAGGGAGGCCAGTAAGCGTCTGTATGCTCAACTCCAAGACTCTGAGAAAAAACACCAGGAGGATAGAGAACAACTGCTGGTTAGTCACTTCCACTTTTTAGCATTTGTTTCTTTCATGGCGTACAAGGATTGAGCATTCAAAGGACCTTTTGTTAGACTGTCCTCAGAGAAGGTGAGAGTTCAGTTGTACTAATACTCTGCCAGACATTCCCTCTGGTCAACTGGATCAGATCCAGGTTGGGAAAGAACAGTGGTGAGATCGGACATTCTTTCATGATGACGTGCTGTTTCGTAATCGGCTACTGCTTGCATCTTAAGGATTTCAGTGTTAAGCAAACAGCTCATGTCAAAATTATACCATACAAAATTAAACCGATTGAAACTTTTAAACATTTTCAACTTCCTGATACAAATGTGGTTGTTTTGATAAGGAATCATCTGCCAAATTAAATACATGTAAAAAATAATGTACAGTCAGCCATTTATTATTGCAAAATATACCCTGATAGAGTGATCAGGACCCTGACACAAAGCATCATCCTGAATGGGCTGGGAATGGGAATTTTCCTTTTTCAGTCATTTTCAATAATCATGTTTATAATGACTGCTTACTTATAATCCATCATTATAGGTCGCTTTTATCAAAAACTAGTTGGCCTGTAAAAATATCAAATTTTTAGGTGTTATTCAACAGAATTAGGAGGGTTTTTTTACATACGCTAACACATCATTAATAGTAAATATATATATAACAGCATATATATAATAATAAAGTTGCCATTTTAGTGATATTTTATTCTCTAGAGTTAGCTATGACTTATGGACATTGGATAACCTTCCTGAGGTAAATGTAATATCAGGTGACAAATTGTTTACAAGCTGTTTTATTGAAGACTTCCCATATGAAGTATGAGATTGTCAGAGCCAACGATTAAATATACAGTTTAGGGCTCATTGTACAAAACAATATTTCTCCACAGAATCCTATGATTAACAAATCAGATTTGAGTATTTCAGAAAGCTGTGTAATACTTTTGCTTTGTGATTCAACTCTTTTTTTGTCTTTGTTCATGTTCTTGTAGGCAGAGGCTCGTCAGTATAAGAAGCAGTTATCTGAGCAGAGTGAGTATCTGAAGAAGGTTCAGCACAGCAAGGAGCAGCAGGATCAGCAGATCGAAGACCTTCAACGTCTCATGGGCGGCATGGAGCAGGAGAGCTCCTCCCTCAGAGACCAGCTCATGACCAAAGAAGCCGAAGTCCTGCAGCTGCACGAACTGAGGGAGGAGGGCCATGCAGGGAGGGAGAGGTGAGGGTCATGACATATCTTACTGATTCTGTCACGTAATGTTGTCTTTTTTAACTTTAAACATCAATTGGCCGTTGCTCTAAACAGTTGCCTTATCATGTAACAGGTTAGAAGAGCTGGAAAGGGAAAATGCGATTTTGAAAGAGAAGATTCATCACTTGGATGACATGCTCAAGAGTCAACAGAGAAAACTACGGCAAATGATTGAACAGGTACTTGTGCACTGCGCACACACACACTCCCATACAAACATTTGTCATGTTAGGTTCACTTTCTAACACCAGCTTTCCATCGTTGTGCCGTTTAGCTTCAGAACTCGCGCATGGTGATTCAGGAGAGAGACAGAGTGATCAGAGAGCTGGAGGAGAAGGTGGCCATGCTGGAGGCAGAGGTCAGTTTACAGGATATAAACACATATCTAGGTGGAATTCACAATTACAAACGATTTTGGTTCTGGTTCCAATTTCTATGACTGATTCTGGTTCCTTAAAGTGAGAGTTCACCCAAAAATGAAAATGTTGTCATCATTTACTCACCCTCATGTTGTTCCAAAGCTGTATGAGTTGCTTTATTCTGTTGAACATGATAGAAGATATTTTAAAGAATGTTGGTAACCAGCCAATTGACGGTGGCCATTGACTTCCATCGCATTTTTTTTTTTCCTACTATGGAAGTCAATGGCCACTATCAACTGTTTGATTACATTCTTCAAAATATCTTCTCTTGTGTTAAACAGAAGAAAGAAAGTCATACAAGTTTGGAACAACGTGAATAAGTGACGGCAACATTTTTGGGTGAACTATCCCTTTAATTGTTCCATAAATAGTTTTTTACTGTAGTATTTTTATTTTAACAATAATAAATACATTTAAACAATTATTTCAAAAGGTGTGACTTTTCACAGAGTCCAATCCATTCATTGGCCTTAACAACAATTTCACAAATAACACATTGAAGTAAACACTGTAATAGTATTTTCTTGTAACACGTACTCCAGTAATGTATATATGTATTTAAGTGCATATATTAAATAAAAATGTTAAAAGAACAAAAATGTGGTAACATTTCATTTAATAATAAGCATAAAATACTACTGACAAAATGCATAATGTGTCATATGAACAAGTTAGTAACTACACTGATTTAAGCTGCATGTGTTTGCTTCATTGGAGTCTTGGTTGTGCTGTGTGTGTTTGATTCACTAAAAAAAAGCAGCTCTTTAGAGTCATTTGTTCAGGAATTGGACTACACTGGTTATGTTGTGTTTTTGATTACCTAAAAAGAATCAAGAGTCATTCAGTTCCGATATTTAAAAAACACAGAACTGGTTATGAAAAATAATCTCTCTGTTTTTTTTCAACCAGAGTTATAATTCTCCTCTCCATCATCTGATCATAATTTCATGAATTACTGCTGAAAATGCACCCAAGTTTTTTTTAAAAATATATATAAATAAAATAGCATTTCTATAACAATTACAAAAAGAAATCAGTTAATTCAGCCTTTCATCTGTGATCTCATGAGTCTTTCCTGATGTCTGACCTTTGTGAATGTACTTTGCTCACAGAACAAACAAATGCACGATCAGATGGATTACTACCTGGGGAGTCAAAGGTCAAATTCATACCTGCCATCAGACACCAATGCGCAGATTGTCTACAGGTAAGACATGCAAATTATCCCGATAGCTACACGCAAATTATGTTATGCATATAGTCACATATGCTTGATAACAGACATACAAGCACACACATTCAAAGTCGAATTTATGTCTCCTCCACAGCAAGCCTCTGAGACCTTCCACCCATACCAACAAGAGTCTGCCCTTCATCAAAGTCATTGAAATTAAATCATGAACGTTACCACAGCAACATCACACAGCACTGCTGTGACAACCGTACCATCCTCCAGTATCAGTGCTGGATACTAGCAACACAAATGACCACAGGCCTTCACCAAAGGACACACCATTGCTTTAATGTCTAAAGGCCTTTTCTCCAAGTATACTTCTAACATTGCAGAGGTCTGTTACTGTTATTGCTACAATTATTTACTATGAATAATCAATGAAGGTTTGACACAACAGGGACTGTTAAAGTCAACATATCCATTTTTATGAAGACAAGTGACGAAAACAAAAATGAATTACTCATTTTCATTTTTGTAAGAAGTGTGAAGGGCTTCTAGATGGATGCTGGGGATATTTTGGTATTTATTTGAGGCTGGCCCTCTGAAGATGATGTCTTTCACCCAATATTAATGGACAGACTGGTTTTGTTGCTAAACACCCTCGCTGAGCTCTCTTTATCTCTCGTAATCTCCCTCGGTATTAGCTCGGCTAAACACTTGGGGAATTAAGGGGTCTTTTTCTGAGTTAGACCAGTTATAGAGACGATAACAGATGGGAAAACATTTTTATTTTATTTAAAGGAATATGAAGTAAAGAAGGATGAAGGATTTTTGTATCTTCATTGTATCTATTTATATCTAAATTAAGGCTGGAAAATGCGTTCTGTGGCATTGGCCAAGGAAAGCGATCAGGAACAGCAGTGTTCCTGGTTTATCTCGAATAACACTGATAACTGACGGTGCTGAAAGAACTGAAGGGGAGACCGTGAGTTATGACATGCTTATCCTGAAACAAAAAACTGCAACAAATATTTATTCTTCATCTACATGCTTTTCTCAACCAAAGAGACACAGGAGAGAGAATCCAATGACTTGCCTTCTATGAAAAACAATGATGCCTTGTGAGTGTTTCATAAGATTGAAAGAATGTAACACTTGTCCTCTACTGAGCCAGTTCAGGCCAGTAGAACACAGTGTGATCCCTGTTATTCAGTCGAGCCAACCGCTGCAGTTACTCAGTTAGCCATTTCCAACATTCAGTAAACTGATTTTATAGCACCTAGTTAGAAAACTGATGTGATTGGCCAGAGCACCTGCCCAACTCAAAGTAGTGCCATGTGAACAGGTAATAATATCCCAACATGGATTATTTATACTTCATTAATTTAATTCTGGACAAGGGTGTGTTCAAATATGCATTCCATTACCATGTTTATCCACCTTCACATTTGTAGATAGTTTTGTGTATATTTTCTTTTTGTGTGAACTTTAACCTTGATGTGAATTCCTTAGAAAGGCTTCAGATAAGCATGTAACATCTTTTATTTTTTTGTAATAATAATATTTTTGTAGTAAAAAACGAGTGGTTTGTTATGCTTGAATTAATGGCATTTTGAGTATTGTATTTAAATAAACTAGTTTCATGAATGTTGTTGTCTTGCCTTTTTTTTCGTGTCAAAAGGGGAATGTGGTTTGGTTACATGGTTGGTTGGTTTTATGGCATCTTAAAGACAATGTAATACATACCTATCAAAATTTTATGATATGGAGAGGTACCGTGGAATCTGACCACCGTCACAAACACTCCAATGTGTTTATTTCGTATGGAAATACATGCGAGTCTCACAAATAAGATATATTATATATGAGTCTCACAAATATAATATAGCATATTAGAATGATTTCTGAAGGATCATGTGACACTGAAGACATAAGCAAACATGTTTTCTCACCGTCACGCACCTAACTCAGAAACTCTTAAGAAAATCCAAAGTTACCAAAACTCACAATTACGAGTTGTGCTGATGTTCATGTGCATTTCATCTCATAAATACATTCTTTCTGACATGACTTTAAAACACTGTAACCACCGAAGCTAAACTTTGACCCCCATTGGCCTGCCCCAACGTCCTAACATTGGTTAAACCAGAAGTTGACACGTCAGACCGCAATGCTTGATCTATGTTTCGAACACACTATAAAGCCAATGACATCACACTGCCCAACAATCGGTTTTGTTGTACTTTTGCTAAACAACCGAACTAGCTAGAGTGCACACTATTGGGAATCTGTGTTGCAGATTTGGCACATTTGGCAGAAGGAAACCCTAGTCTAAAAACTCATTGCAGCTAAAGTCTCGCCATGTGTTTTTAAATCTGAGAATGATGAAATTATTTTTAGATGATGCTATGTGATTTTTTTATATGATACTTTCTTTTTGTGCAAACCAAAGAAAATATGAGGTATGAACTGAAACATCTAGTTTGTTTCTTTTAACAGGTGCTGTAAGGGCAGAACTTCCAAACACAACTTTTGCCTACAGCGTAAATGTAACAATGAGCAATTTGCAAATAAAATATTTAATTTGTTAAATATTTAAGTACTACTTCAGTCATTTATTTTTGTTGAATCCCCTGTTTACCTGTTATGATTAAATGTACAATACAATGAACTGTACTTGAGTTCTACTGATGAATATATATAGCCTAGATTAAAAAAATAAAATAATCATGAAGTAAGTTTTATAATTATGACCTTTACCTTTTCAAATTTAACCAGACTTTGAATATCAGGTAGCCTATTACTTAATTCAAATCAAATTTTTTTGCATGTTTGCAAATCAGCTTTACATACATATAGAAAGTAGTTACAAAAGTAAATATATGTAATTATAACAAATAAAGAAAACAACATTTACTGTAGGTAAGGTTTCCCAAGGTTTTTTTCTCCATTCTGTCCCTGATGGAGTTTTGGTTCCTTGCCACTGTTGCCTTGGCTTTTGGCTTGCTTAGTTGGGGACATTTAATATTCAATAATGTTATTGATCTGCCTTACTTAAGGTGGACGCTGACGCAATTTTCTTTTAGAAACAAACTTTGTTATATTGTTTTCATGTTATGTTATCACTGTGAAGCGCTTTGATACAATCTGTATTGTAAAAAGCGCTCTATAAGTAAAGGTGACTTGACTTGTAGTCAGTTTGAAAGGTGAAAGAAATTCACGTACCTGATCAGAAGTTTTATTATTTTAGTTTATTCCTATACTGTAATACACTTTTCCCATTAATGGCCGTTGTACTTTGGAATGTGGACTGCAGCCCTTTGGGCTGTCAAAATATTATGAATTATTAAGCAAATTATTTAAATGATCATAACCAGTCCTCAAATTACACAAAAAGTTATAATGTCAAATAGATTCAGAAATGTTATATGCATGAAAAGTAACGACGCAAAATGTATAAAAAAAATTGTTTAACTCATGGATAACATTTAAATTATATTAAATACAACTTAAGTTGAACTTCAGCACTGCTTTTGGACAACTAAAATGAATTTTGTACAAAATTAGTTGTTCCAAGTTAACAGACTTTAAGTATACCAATTTATAGTGTGCCACTAATATATTTAGTTATTCTAAAGAACATACGAATAAATTGGGCTTAATTATACTATTTTTTCGCTAGGGTAATGTCTTGTTAGTGAAGACCCCTAAAGGCACAGCAGTGCAGGTACAGAAAAAGCAGACACTATATTAGATCTTATAAGACTTTATAATACAGTGAAAGTCAACACAGACAGCCTCTCATAGCTCTTTAAGCTACGTTAGCATGACAGAAAAACACGTCAATTCATGACTCAAAGCACATTGTTCCTCCTTATACACACATTTACATGAACTAATTAAAAAAATAAAATTGCACTTAAAAAAATAAGGACAATATTCTGATCAGTAGCACAGAAATTAATATTTTTCTCACCCAGTTTCTGTTAGAATGATGTCTGGCCATCTCTTCTCTGACACAGGATCTTATTTGGAAACCTCAAGGTATGGTTGTTTTACTATAAAACAGGTGTAAGAATGAATGTCCGTACAGCTGTTTTTAATCCACGTGTAAGTGCCAGAACAGTTATTCCAGTTAAAATGTTCTCAACTCAGCTAAAGGGACTTCATATTGATGCTCTTCATATTTAAAGGCTATTCTCACAAAGAAAGAAAATGGTGAACAGTGACTATGACTTTTAACATAAGAAAATAGTAAGAGTTCTGGCAGGACAACACTAAAATTAGGAACGTAACATTCTTGGATTGCTCTTAAAGCATTCACAATGACATTTATCCCACAGATTTTGTTATATCTTAAATCATTCTCACATTCTCAATGTGATTTGAGGCCATTTTACTGCAACTCCCACTGTGGTCTTTTCTACAAGAAGGATTTTCCAGTGTAGGTTTTCCAGTGAGCGACACTTCCGTTTCACAGTTTCAGAGTTAAATTTACACAGTTCCTCAAAAGGGTTTCATTCTCTAAAGTGTGCTCTCTAGAGTATTATAGTTGTCTTTAAAGTTTTTGAGCTCCAGGAAGTGTTTGGGCCTCTTGCTGCGCTGTCCGGATGACGGCAGGTACGTGACCTGAATGGTTGAGGCAGACGAGGGGCCGGGAGAGCTGGTCAGATCTTTAGCTGCTGACTGGTGCTGCTGGTTTAGACTGGTGCTGCTGGAGTGGGTCTTGACACTGTGGGGAACAAAAAGGCAATAGAGTGAGAAAAGTGATATATATGAGCGATGAACAGCAAAAATTAGACAATATAACTTACACATCAGCCAGTTCAGCCAGATCTTCCTTATACTTCACAAACTCTGCCTCGCCAAACATCTATGGGAAAGAGAACACAAGCCTCTTAAATATTGTCCTGCAGCGCCCCCTGCTGTAAATTACCAATTAACACACACATGACACTGGGACTGACCCCTGTCCCGTGACGAGCGCTGTCGTAGCCCTCCACTAAGCGATCTAGGAGCGTGCTGTGACTCGACTTGAACAGAGAATGAGAGTTTCGCAGGTCCAGCAGCCATTTCCTGTAGCGGCGACCAGTCAGAGCACTGGCACTGCGACACAACTCGTGAAATGGGAGATCTATGGGTGGGACAGAACCAGATCAGATAAGACTAGACCTGCATGCATTCAGTTTTCTATTTCACAAGCTTATTAGAGAGAGAGAGAGAGAGCAGCACAACTGTTTTCAACATAATAAGTTAATAAATGTTTCTTGAGCATCAAATCAGCATATTAAAATGATTTCTGAAGGATCATGTGACACTGAAGACTGGAGTAATGATGCTAAAAAATGCAGCTTTTCCACCACAGGATTATATTACGTTTTATAATATAGTATTCTTTTCACTTTAAAATTTCAATTGTAATAATATTTCACAATATTACTGTTTTCACAGTGTTTTGATCAAATAAATGCAGCCTTGATGAACACAAAGATTTCTTTACAAAATATGAAGAAAAAAATGACTGACCCCAAACTTTATAGCGGTAATATATAAAGTGTTACAAAATTTTGGTTTTGAAATTTAAGGCAGTATTATAAATCTGACGTAAAACTAAAACAAACTAATTTTTGTTAACAGATGTTTTATTTAACAGATATAAATAAAAAGTAACGTGACCACGAAAATAAAATGTATTAAATAAAAATGGCCACAAATTAATTATGCCATGATGGCATATCATAAATCATCATAAAAACAAACTAAATTAAACTGAACATGGTAATTATTCATGTGAAATTGATGTGAATTCATTTAAAACATCTTTCCAGTAAGCCGTGATCTTGACCTGCACACAGGCAAAAGAGGGTCTTACCAGAGTCTCTAATGGCATCTAACGCTTGCATTCTGAAGAGATAATTATAACAACCTGCACAAACATAAACACGAGCATAAGTTTTCACATCTCCAGCAGGGTTATGAAGAGAACTGCTAGGGGCTTCTTTGTTTCTCTCACCATTCTGGCCTTGATGCTTCAGTCGATCGTCATCTTTAGAGAGCAGATGTGGCTCATAGCGAATGTCATTCACTTTAGACAAACGGGAGTCAATCTCTTCTTTTAGGTCCTGTAAAAAATGCAACTTTGCTTCAGTGCATTACAAACTAAGTATAAAACAAAAAGCATCATAGAGGTATAAACAGAAGAACAACATATAAACAAACAAAAGACAAGACTTTAAAATCAAAGTCATATAGTTTTACGAAAGTGTAGCTTTTTGTAAAAAGTATTTTTAATTCAATACAAATCAGATGCATGATGATACAGTACATGTGGTCAGGCGCGGCTCCTCTGTATGGGCATAGGAATACAAAATATTCATCCAAACATAGACAGAAATATTTTTCGGATTTTCTAGACTATTTTAAGTCATAAAGATATATTAAAATGATATATTAAGATATATTAGCGCATGGATTCGGCAGGCATGTATTTATGATAAAGCGGGGCAGCCGGTCTCGGAGCCCTACCTAGCTCTACAGAGCCCTGCAAATTTCCAATGTAAATCTGTGGTGAGAAATGTGTCTGCATCAGGTCAGTTACTAGTTGGCATGTCTGCTCTTCCTATGTGGAGTAGCGTTTTAAATTAATGAGAATATAAACCCTTTAGTTTAAACGTGCTCATGTGAATAGCTTTTATATACAGTAGTTCCTTCTGTTGTGTGATTTATGTTTGTTCTGAGATTAGACATTACTTTTTTCCTCACTGGAATTCCTAACCTGTAATATTCTAAACAACACTCAGACACAACAAATACTACATAAAGGAAATTCTAAGATGGCATTCTATGCTTTTGTCATGTATACTAAAGTCTGTCAATCATTATTAGAGGTCATCATTACCCTCAGTCAGGCTGAATAACAAGGACATTCGAATTCTGCTAAAAGTGTGTCTGATGTGTTCTGTATAGCGATTAGGATATAAAGCTTACATATCATAAACTGCTCTAAGACCCAGAATCTGCCCTACCTAAATTTATGCCAGGAGCCGCTACTGCATGCGGTACAATGAAGACATTTATTTCACAAAGTTCAGTCGAAGTTCTACCTCTTGGGACCTCGGTATTTATAAAACCTTGCGTAGGACCCTGAGTAGAACATAGGCTATACTTTTACCATTTATTGTCCTGTTGGGGGCATTTTGTTTTACAGCAGTGGCCAAAAATATTTAGGTGCTGGTACTACAATAAATCAAATATCATCTACAGAGACATACGGATTTTTGGGGGGTTTCAGGAGGAGCTGTTCATACCTTCGGTGCGTTATGACCCAACGGGACGTGCGGTCCTCTGCGAGACTTCATAGCGAAGCGCATAATCTGCCTTTTCACAAAGATGAACAGCAGAACAAACACCTGCAGAATTACAGAAGGGTTGAATCAACATACACACTCAAATACAATTCTGACAAGGGCAATATAGGCTCAAAAGTTAATATGCGGTATTTTTAGGCATCAAATACGACGCTTTCTTGATGGGCAACTCAATAAATTTTGAGAAACAAAGAGGACATTTCCATTGTAATCCCCATTATAAAGTATTATTCACACATCTGGGCTGTCAATGCATATTGTACGAAGAAAATTCTGATATATATTGCTCCAGCTTTACTGTTGTTCTTAAGTATTCCGTTTACATGTTTAAAAATACAACTATTATTATACAAATACTATGCAGTCTGGTACTTACCAGGCTTCCGTAGGCCATAACAAGCACAACATTTACACCGGAAAGAGTGTTTCCTTCTGCCATTGTTAGATTTTAATTAAATGCTCATGAAAGGAACCTATAATCGGGCGATATTGGTAGTCAGTGGTACAATTCAGCTCGTTATTCTTCAGGTTGACAGCAGCACTTGCAGGAGAGTTTTTGTTGACATCTCCTGTGGTCTCTCTCTTCGTCGCATGTTTTGCATGGGAAAACTCTTCCGGCTACTCATCTTTGACGCCACCTTGTGGTTTGGAGTGAATAACTTAACATCAGTTCAGGGTTTTTCAAAAATGCCCTCAGCGATTCGCAGGTCACGATCAGGTCAGCAAAACAAACATGTGTGCAAATTGTTCATAAAAATACCCTTGCATAAATGGTTCCATGTACTTCGATATAAACTTGCAATTAAATAGTTGTGCTCCTTATCAGATAAAAACGTGTTCCTTTTTTTTATAGAAAAGTTATTTTTTCCCCCTTCTTTTAACCACATTACAATGCTTTTCACATTCCGATCCTACTATTTTCAGAGAGTTACTCATACAGAAGTGGCATATAGGGTATATAAATTTACACCAATACCACTGCGTCTGTCGTTGTTCCAAACCACAAGGCTTTTCCTCTGTGTGAGATTATAGCTCTAGGAGCTCACAAGCCACACACACATTTAACGTTACTGTCAATGCATCCAAACATTATGCACATGGTTTTTCAATGTTCTAGACTTGTTTCTGTGAAAATGAAGTGAGCAGTCTCAGAACATCTGAATTAGCGGACAGCTGACCTTTATCAGATCAACACACTGAACAATGACACCAATTCTTTCAGGAGGAACAGAGGTGGGTGGCAGATGCATGAAAAGACAACAAGGGATGAAATTGTTTCCCCAGTAATAACAGATATCGCAACAATCATGACTTTATCTCAAGCCCTGGTAAAGAAAGAAGGAATAAAATCTCTGTATTGTACAGAGTAGACCGTGGTAGAAAAATGAGAAAAAAAGGGTGGTAGACAAGTGACTCACTCTGTCCTGTTAAAAAAATAAACCACACTAACCATATGCATTCTGTATTTGTCCGATTTGTATGAAAATCTGTGCAGATATACATCTTGGTATCAGATAATGCATTAGCTTAGCTGTAGGAAGGATGCAATGCTATTCAGCAGCTAAAAAGTTAAATTCTTCCACTGTGACCAATTTCTCGACAAGAAAGAAGCTGTTTTGGCTAAACAGGACATCAGACGACAGAAGATGTTGAAACATCTAATTATACTGTGTGTCCACAAGCAGCTCAACAATGTGGCTTATTTCGTTTGCTTTATCATTCCATCCCGTCTGTCATGTCAGTGTGTTTCTTGCGTTCACTTGCAATCAAAAACTGATCGAAAGATACAGTTGCAGTTACATTTTTGTCTCTCTGAATGAAACCACAAACTTAACCAGCTTCCTCTGCTGTTGCTGTCAACAGTGTGCATGTGTCAGTGATGCAAGACAGACCGTTGAGTGATGATGGTTAGACTGCATGCACAACTGCTGTTAAGGTAAACCACCACGTACATTTAATTTTATTTAATTACAAAATGCTTTGAATGCTTAGGATTTGTGCTATTTGATTTGCTTTGGATTATATGTGTGAAGAATGTATTAAAAGTTCATGTTTACCAGTTATAGTACCAGTTATATTTTCTTTGATTTAGTTACTTAAATATAGCAAATTTACATCACATTCAACATGTAATCAAAAACAAGTAATACATTGTATTTAGATAATGCACATGCAAATGCAAGATATATAGCTATATAAAATATAAAAATGTATACATATAAAACAGTATCATAAAAAAGTGATTTTGTCTGAGTATCTTCTCATTCACATGTTTTAGAGCATGTAAAATATCTGGCTGTCAAGTTTCACATACATTTAAAGCATAACTCCCGCCCATCTGCTCTCTCTCTCTCTCTCTCTCTTTCTCAGCCTCTGAGCAGCTCCTTTTTCTGCAAACTTCATTTGCTCTTGCAGCTGCAGGAAGTTGAGCAACTCAGCCCACAAGTGTGCCACAGAAATACAGCCAGGTAATCAATTGTCAAAATGTTTTGTTACCTTTTCGAATTGTACTGTTAGAATAATGTTTAATTTATTTCAGTTTCAATGTGTGTTGCACCTTACATCTTTTAAGGTTGTGTGTGATCAGTTTTGCTTTATATTGTGGCCTCCATCTACAGGCCCTTGTATCTTGAATTCATGTAAATGATGCTTGATGACGGCTTACAGGTTAAAAAAATGTTCATGCAGTAGCTGTTTGCAAGGATGTCCTTGGCATTTTTGGGGTAAAAATATGCAGTCAATTATGCAGCTGGTACTTCTGGTTTCAGTTGAAGCATTGGTCAATACAAAAAAACACTTGCATTATCTTGCATACTCTTTATTAATTTTAAATTTGCCTCATTATAAGTCTTTGTTATCATTCCTTGCTGTTTTAACACTGCTTGACAGTCTTTAGGTAATCAATGTTTGCCAACATATGGCAACCATCTCTATAAATGTTTATAATCTCTCATCTCACAGTCATATGCTGCAAGTTCTTGATTTCTTATTTTCCAATGATCTGGTATTAACATAGGCCTTATAGGATAACTGCTCCTTGCCACAACCACGGTATAACAGATCACTCATTTTTACTGTTTTTACCTAAAAGAACTGTGAGCAAGTAAAAATGTGCAGAGAAAATTAATTAAAATTAAAGATGGAGGGTAGATGGAAGATGGAGCAGAATAAATGCTGCTCAGATAAACATATATATATTCGCATTAGCATAACGAAACCCTTAATGTCAAGATTGAAAGGCGTGTTATTTGTAGATCCATAAGTTTCAAAGTGTTAGGTAAGTTGTAACATTAAGTCAAGTCGTCACCTTTATTTATATAGCGCTTTTTACAATACAGACAGTTTGTTTCGGCTGTACAGCAGATAGAAGAAAATAGTGTCATTGTCCAAGGTCAGTGTTGATTCATTTCTGTTGTAAAAAAGTTATGAATTTTGTTCATTTATACAGAGAAAACAGTGATGTCATAGTCCAGCTCAGTTCAGTTCTCATACAATGGAGTCAATGCAGGCAGATCAATAATATATGTGGGTATGCATCATGCTGGTTAATTGTCAAACTTGGTGCAGAAACCTCATTTGAATATATAAAACACAATTGGGGAGTTTATCGAGGGGGGGAAGCCCTGATAATATAAAAGGAACATGTTTATTGAATTGATTTTCCATTTACTATCGTTTAAGTTTTCGTGTTCTGGGTGTTGAAATTAGCGTAGTTTTGTGGTGTTGGACTGATAATTTTGTTTTGTAGTGATGGCCTGATCATTATGTTCACTGAATCAGTATGCATGACACAATGCATTATTTATTATTTGAATGATTAAATACACATTGCTTTTCACTTTTGTCTTTTGGTGCAAATACACAACACCAAGGTCAACTAATGTGTATATATGTTGGACGAGGCTGCGCTACAATCGTATTATGTTTAGTCCAATTCCACAAAAACCAGACAGGTGTGGTTTCGGTTGAATTTCAGCATTTGCATTTAAAAGAAAACACTTTTAGTCAGACTAAAATTTAAATGTAAAATCCACTTGTCTGTTTCCGACAAAAGTCAGTCCTTCATTCATCCAATACCTGAACATGTTCAGAATGCAATGACTCCATGACCCGATGATTGTCAGAAGCATTTACCTACGCTTTAACACTGAGTCACCAAGAAACCACGAACCAGGAATGTTCTCATTAGACATGAAGGGTGTACATGTTGACAGGTGTGTACAGTACATGTGTACGAGACAAAGAAACTGAGACACAAATAGATGGAAGGAGAAAGAGAGAGAGAGAGGCAGACAGAAAGAGACGGGGGAGGAGTGAGAGGTAGGGAAATGAGAGAGGAAGGCACAACAATCAAAGGGGGTGGAAAAGGGTAAGCATGTCAAACCAGTCAGGCAAGTTCTTATTACAGTAGAAATGCATCATAGAAAAATGACAGACTGCAAGGAGTGAGAGAGAGCTTAAAGGCACAAGGGAAGATGGGGAGGACCTGTTCTCTCAAACTTCTAAGGGACACAGAAGTCCTCTAAGGTAAGTTACTTCTGTTTGAAGAGCTAAAACTCAACATGTGTGGTTAGATTATGTGACAGGTGAATTGAATGTCCATTGTTGTTCTAGCGTGTGCCATGGGAGAACAGGTGTTTCTGTAAAATGACACTGACCTGTGAAAGTCTGTAATGTTGCATTCATATGGGACTGGCAACCTTATTTTGCATCTACAGTATATCTGTGAAACACTAGGCACTAGTACATGGCCATTTGTAGTTATATGAGCAACTTTATAACAACCTATGTTTACTGTGTCAATGTTTCCTTTATTTATTTTCAATCAGTTCAGGTTTATCTTCATCAGGTCTGTATTTGCGCTCCTGGAAGGTGTACGTCACGCTTCCTCCTCCCACTCTATCTCTGCTTGCTTTTTGTTCATGTCTTTTATTTTAAACATAACTACAGCACTCTTGACCTATATGTTCAGTTTAAGATAACAAAGGCAATCTTTACAACAGAATAAGGTGGGGCAAACAAATCTGGAATTGAGCATTACAAAACCTTGATTTAAGTTTCAGCTGTTGATTCAGTATTGTCTTAAACTTTAAGCTCATTTGTATGCAAATTTCTATATCAGTGTTTGTTTGATTGCATGTGACTATTATCAGATGTTACTGAAGTGTCTGAATAAATTTCAATTTGCTACTTTGAATGAACGTGGCCGTGGGTGTGTAAGAGAAACGGTGCAGAGTTCCTGCAAGGCTAATTGACATAATTCACCAATTTGAGATACAGTAATTTTATTTTTTACTATATTCCATATTGTTTATTCACAGAGATCAGCATAAAGACATGAAAATGTATTTAAAATAAAAATACAAAATACCTCAGTTGAAATGTATCAAAATAACATGCCAAATACTGTGTGGGGGAAAAAAATATTTAAATACAAATAGGCCCTACAGTATTTTGTATTTAGAAAATACACAAACTGCATGTGAAATTGGCCATTCAGAGATCACTAGTAGGCTGAAATCTGTCTGGACCTATTCTGAAAGCAAAGAACATTATCTGGTGTGTACAACTGCTTAAACTTTTGATTTCATTTTCCCTACCTCTACCATAACTTTTCAAAAAGACTGGGTTTATATTGTCTGTGCATTGCAAAGTTCTCAAGCAATTATTACAGTCAGTAATAAAATTAGAACAAAGAAACAAATGACAAGCAATAGGACAAATGAATACAGATTATAAAATAAAATAAAAATATAAAAATAAAATAAGGAGTGGTAAGTTTTTCAGGTAGGTCTAGCTGAAGTAGAAATACTACAGAAATTGAATAATGTAATCAAATGTAAAATAATAATACACTGCATAGTCTTTAGTGTATGAATGAAATATATATTGATTCTTATTAAAGCTACAAACGTTATTCAGTCAAAAGCTGTATGTGAATTGTTCTTTGTCTTTTGTTGTTAGATTAACATTAATGACAGCAGCAGGATTATTAGGCTGCTGTCACTTTAACACATCCGATTCTTCAAACAGTATACCTTCACCCAAGACATAAACCGACTGTTTTTACATGAATACTCATATATTTTTGTGTGCATTTTACCGTTTAGCTGCACACAGAAAACTGCCTGTCAGTGTGCGAATAGATATCTATAAAATATATAGATGAGGTTAAATCGATACACACTTTATATCCTCGCCTATATAGCAAGCAGTAATTTGACCAGGTAGTTGATAAAACCAATAACCGATAAACTATCTAATGCTATTTTGCCCCCTGCCAGTGCTTTTATTCCTTCATGTAAACTGAAGACAATTCTCAATGATGTTCCATTTTAACCTTAATCAACAAGTAGAATTGACCATGACATCCCTACATTATCTTATTCCTTAATTAATGGAGAAAATTCGCTAACCCAATACTAGAATGAGTCGTACAACTGCAGCTCACAAGCATGAAAGTTGGGGTTTAGGGGCCTGAACTAGTTGATACAGGAAATCAGCAGCCTAATAAAGAGGTTGACTGGCACAAACTATTTTTTATATTTTGAAAATACAAAAATACTGAACTTAAATTAATTTAAATTTGTATTTTAATAAGTATGTATCTGAAATACTGCACATCCCTGTTTATTCACACACATTCATTGTAATGCATCTTCAGAAAGAATTATGTAGCTTTAACTATGTGTGCACCGTAACTGTGTAACATATGTTGTGTTAGACAGGATTGTAGTCTGGTGTGTTTGACCTGTTATCTGACTGCGTATCAGGTTTTGTAAAAGAGCTGAAGAGTGTGACCAGTAACATAAAGAATGTTGTAAGAGTAAACATACAACAAAATGCACACATATACACTCTGGTTACCGATTTTCAAACCTTTTAGAAATGTTTGATTTTACAGAGTGAGGAATACAAGTAAGGTGCTTGTCCAGACTCCAGAGTTTCAAGATGTTATGAGGGTATAGATGCTGTATGCCCGGAAGAGATTTATGGACTCTCATTGTAATAAATACAGAGTTTCAGTATGTTGAAATACTGAGGTACTAGAATGAACCTGGGCAGGTGACTTTGTAAATGCACTTTAAGCATGTACACTTTGTTGAGTGGGAGGTGGTGTATCTTAGTGGTTAAAGGGCCTGGCCAGGTTGTATGTTCAGACCATACAGGGTTGTGATCCATTCAGAAAAAAATCTAGACTGCCTTTTACAGTTCCTGAATTTTAGTTAATGTAGCAAACCGGATGATTTAGAATTTGAATCTAATGAAGTGCAATTCTTTTATTAAACTTAATTTGTTTAAAGCTAACCTTCACATGTGGTTTTTGCCTTTACATGACAGAACAAGATAAAGAGCAGAGAGTACTGAGACCCATTACTAGCTCTTTTTGGATCCAGACAGAGTGAAACATCTGTCAGAAGCTAAATTTAGCAGGTCTCCTTCGCCACCCTGGATTACAAACACATTTTTCCAGCTTTTATAACGATGGTAGGAAAATACAGCCCTTCTTGATTACTTCACAAATGCTGTCGTTCCGAGAAAAAAAGGAATACAATTTTTTGACCAAGTTGCTGAAAATATGTTAGCAACCAGCCTTCCATTCATACTGTAATGAATATACTTTGTGACATTCAGAGACATTTAAAAGCATGAGTTTGCATACTGGAACTTTTGTACATCAATTTCCTGAATCAGACACAACTGGCAGCATAACTGAAGGTGCAGAATCATCCAATGGAACTGCAACACAAAATCGTAGTCAGTCATTTGTAAATCCTATTGGCTCTGCAGCTGCTAGATTCAAAATCCGCTCTGCTAAAACACTTCAGCGAAAGTGTGAGCCGACTACTAAGGACCTCAGGATGATAAGTAATATCTTTGAGGGTGGAAAAGTTGAAGACTCAAGTCAGAAAAGTGATAGTAAGGACCTCAACAAAGTCTGTACTTCTTCTGCAAGTTGTACCCACTCTGACAATAATGACAAAAAGACAGGTAAAAATGTAGGTAATGGCACACATAAGGACTCAGCTCTTTCCATCAATTCTGAGAAGGGTGATGTGAGTGCTAAGCAGTCAAATATTCAAGAAGAAGAGAGTCAGACAGCAAGTGGCAGTGGCAGTGGAAATGATTTGAGGAGATACCAGTCAAATAAAAGCAAAAGCTTAGACTGGAGAGGAACAAGTAGAGCAGACCATGGGAACAGAACTGGGATGACTAGTAGGACCAGAGAATTTGATAATTTTATAAAACGATCCAGTAGTTTTGAGAGAACAGGGGCAAACAACAAGATAACTCCACACACACAAGAAAATCAACCCAGTAGTGTTTCATGGAGGATTCACGCTTACAATGGAGCGAATCAGAACACTGACAGAAAGGTTAACCCAATCTCTGGATCTACATCTGTGAGAATGAACCGTGTAAATTTAGCTCTGGAACAGGCAAGCAGTGGCCAGTCACTTCCAGTCAGATTGAAGCCAAAACTAAGCCAAGGTAGTATTGGAGAAGGTAGCAGTCTCTGGGCACAGCAACAAGGTGAATCAAATCTTGATCAGACAGACAACAGAATGGGATCCCGGGCCAGAGAGCAAGGAACTTCCAATTCTGAGGAAGTAACTGGAAACCAAACAATAATGGAAAGAATTGAGAAACTGTTTGGGGCAGATGCCAAATCTGATGCACACTCAAAAAATTCAGTTGGATTAAAACGCAACAATACTTCTGATGAATCATTTCCTAAATCTATGGGCACTGTGGACTCTACTCCAAGTCACAGAAAATACACTACTGACTCTGTGTTTGGAACTTCAGATTTTTCTGACAGTCAACAGGGGAAACCTTCTTACAATGTAGACAAAGCTAGAACATTGCCAAGAGGATTTTCAAAAACATACCTTTGTCAGAAGCAAGAACCCTCTACCAACAAAGAGAATAAAAATGACCAAAGGGACAATTCCTCTGGATTAAGTTTTTCAATGTCATCAAAGCCTACATCGAGTACAGAAATGTCCTCTGTTAAAAAAGTTCAACCACTTCTACCTGAAGACAATGAAGAGACAAGCAGACAATTGTTAACAGGGTCTTCAAAGTACTGTAGTCAGTCCTTAGAAAGGACCAGGAGGCTGTCAGCAACTGCTCAACTCAATGCTCGCAGGAACCAGTCTGCATGTTCGGATAGTAGTTCAAGTGTTTCCAGCCAGGGTGTCAAACTTTTGTTTACCAATTCTGAAGGAATCAAGGGGGACATTGGGAAAGTCAAACAATCTGATAAAGAGAGCACACAAAGACTGGACATAAATGAAAACAAGTATCTTGATGGTTTGCAAGATGGTATCACCCAACCCAATTACCCACTAGCCTCAAAAGGTACAGCATGCAATGAGATTCATAAAGAGGAAGAGAAAGAGGAAGTTTTCACAGATAAAACTGAAGGAAGGAGAGGAGAAGGCGTGCTAGAAAAATTGCATGTGCCATCCTTTGATTCAGTGAAGAATACAATCACCATGTTTGAATCTTTGGCTCAACAAAGCAAAAGCACACGGGAGACTTTTCTTACCAGGAGGACCTTATCTGTACAAGAGCATCCCAAACCTGTGGCTCTTGTAAAGAAGAGTGATTCAGATAAAAATCTACATTTTGGAAGGGTTGTGGGGAACACAGAAATCCTAAGAACAAATTTATTTAACAAAAGTGATTCCAATGATGAGACTGAATGCACTCTAGATACAAGAAGAACTCCTCATTCAAATTCCATAGTCAAAGTAAGACCAACATTAGAACGTCAAGAAACATACAAAACGAGTGTTGAGCTTGCTCCACCATTCAAACAAATGACTGAATCAAAAACTGAACAAGTTATCAACAGGAGGGATGAAGATGAACGGACAACAGTAAATAAAGCACACACGGACGAACCAGATTCTGCCATCACTGCAACCTCAGGGCTCAGAAACATAGGGACAATGGAAGAAAAAGCAGGAATCCCATCAATCTCTCAACAGTCGCATGTCAAAAGTTTATCAAAGCAACAGACAATTAATATAAAAATAGTTGATGATGATGATGAAAACACACCGACTAACTCTCCTGATAGACCTCTCACAGTTAGCATTCAGAAGCAGATTAACCCTGGAGCCGTAACAGTCAATGGTAACAATCCCAAAGCGCTGCCCAATCTTTCTCAAAGCTTTACTCCTGTCCAAACAATCTATTCCTCTCTCAACAATTCTAACAATAACAACTATGAAACAACAAGGAAGGATTGCACCATATTGACTACTAGCAAGGCTAGGTGGAGCTCTGATGAAGAAGAAGATGATGATGAGGAAACTGAAGAAGACTCTGACTCAGGAGAATCATCTGTGACCATCACAAGCAACATGAGCCAATCAGAACGCAGAAGTTTTTCTCTAAGGTAATTGATATGAAAAATAAAAAAGTGATACAACTGATTCAGGATGTAAAACAAAATAGACTAAAATGGAGTGTCAGCTTATGTCACATGCACAAACCAGCAGGTTGCCCTGTTTATGCCCACACCTTACCTTGCATTTCTTCATGCTCCTGCCACCCTATGCTGTACTGTACCTCCTTTCCTTTAAAATATGTTTTATAACTCCACTTCACACCCCTATTCTATTTCTACATATTTACCTCTTACAGTCTTGTGGACCTATGTAATTATGGTGGAGTGGACTACAAACCATCAGATAGCAGTTTGTCAGAGAATGGTGAAGATTTGCCATCTACACGCTCTGCGTCCTTGAGCTCAGACATCTCAGCCTTCTCTTCTGTGACTCTGTTGAGCACTGATGAACTGGATCGCTTACTGGACGATGTCAGGGGCTTGGGAGATGACACCCTGCAGGTAAAACAAGTCGCATAACTTTGCCCTGAAGCATATCATTTGACAATGAAATAGACAAACTGTCATGACATGTAAATTGTAAGTCTTTAGAAGAAAAGAGACCATTTCCTTTTTCTATCACAACTTGTATTTCTGACGTATGACAGAAATATGAAGACGTGCAAGTGGTTGTGTTACACAAGGAGGTGGGGAGTGGCTTAGGATTTACCTTGGCAGGTGGAGTGGATCAGAATAAACCAGTCACAGTGAGTATCACCAAATGCTGTGGTGTGAACATTTTTAACTAATAGAAACCAATACTGACGGTCAAACAAAAGACCACACAAAAAGCAGCAAATACAAAAAAAACCTCAAAATTTGTTTAATACTAATCTATTGTGCATCTAAAAAATGTCAGTGGAAATTCCTTTAACTATGCATTTTATCAAAATACCAACTCTTTGTTTAACAACTGTAAATGTCCCTGTCTTTAGGATTAAATTATAATGTTTATGTAACTTTTAAGTACACCAAATTTCATTTTATGCTTCAATACAGTATAATTAATTGTACAATTTAATACAAGTTTTTAAGTTTTTGGTAGTCATTGCAATTTGACTTTAATTGGAATGGGGTGTTTCACCCCCATCTCATCTCTTAGGTCCACAGAGTAATCCCAGGAGGAGTAGCAGCACATGAAGGCTCTATCTACGAGGGTGCCCGGGTGTTGTCGATCAATGGCACTGCCCTGCAGAACTCTGCCCACTTTGAGGCTCTGCGCACACTGAGAAAAGCGAGGGGGCAGGGAATGGCAGTTGTTGTTCTTCAGAGTGGTAACAGCAGAAGAGAGGCCACTGAAAGACAAGGAATCACAGGTGGGTGATGGACAGATGGCAAAGAGGTGGTGATCTGAAGGAAAGCATTTTATTTTACATATCTATGTGGTTGTCAATATGAGTGTAAAATCAACATTTTGGAAAAGTACTGTAATAAGTTGTTTGATAATAATACTGATTAAGTTCCCTTACCTTGTATACAGGTGAATAATAAATGTGTGACAAAAGAAAGCAGTGTATCTTGTGGAATCCCATACTTTGTGTGTGTATGCCCCCTACAGGCAGGAGAGTCCGTGTGACTCTGGAAAAGTCCAGCTCTGATCTTGGCTTTAGTCTGGAAGGAGGGGTGGGATCCAGCTCTGGAGACAAACCCCTCACTGTACAAAAAATATTTCGTGGTAAGACCACTTTTTCTCAATTTAAAACAATCATTAAAACCCAATCCAGAATGCTATTGTTTTTCTCCCACCACTCACATAAAAATCCTCGTCCGAATACACATCTCTGGGTTTACAAGAAGAGAGTTCTTCAAAATTCACTATTTAAATCCTTTTTGACCACTGCCGAGCACCGTACAGTTGTACTTCGCTGTAATTTGGATGTATTTTAAAGATGTAGCCTACACTTTTATTACTGAAATGATGGAAAGTATTTACAAGAAAGATATTTCATCACAAGAGAAAGAGAAGAAAAGAATGAATCAGCCGTTTGAACGAATCGTTTGAATGAATCAATGAATCAATGACTCACTCATTAAGACGGTTGCCTGCCGCCACCTACTGGCGGTTTAGTGTTATGTTTAAAATTATCATTCTTTCCAACCTTTATTATTTGTATATTTAAAACAATCTCATAACATTATTTAATGCAATTGTATTTTTTTCAGTGTAAATGATTTAATTTGATCATCCCTACCTAGGGTAACAGCCCTATAGTGTCTTATTATTCTAAATAATTTAATTTATTGATCAAATTTAGGAATTTAAAATGAAAAATGAAGCATTTTATAAGATTTGGCAGGGGGGATGCCCTTTAAAGGTGCAGATAATACAATTATTAGATTTCAAATATCTGCTTATCAGCTTATATCAAAGCTGATTGAACACTGATGAGAATATAGCTTCAGAATAAATTATATTTACAACACACACACACACACACAAAATTCCGGACAAGTAACTTTTTTACTCGGACAAGCACATGAAAAGCTTTAATGTCGAGCCTGCTGTTTACCTCACACCTTACTGGCATCCCTCCTGCACTTCTGCACAAAAGGGCAATTTTGAGCTTGTGCTTGTCTCATACCAAGCTCTTTCATAACAACAAGCAATTATGTCAATTACTTGTTTGCAGTTGGACCAGTCAGTGAAGTGTTTCCTGGGGATGAGTTGTTGGAGGTGCAAGGTCAGAGTTTGGCGGGTATGATGCGGCTTGAGGCTTGGAACCTCATAAAGAAACTGCCTTCTGGTCCAGTGGAGGTCTTACTACACCGTCCTCACCAACCACGCTGAAGACTTTTACTTTCCTTCTTGCACCTTATTTCTCAAAGCGCTTTGCAATTCAGTCATAATTCAAACAATGTGTTTTTTTTTGTTTTTTTTGTCTAAGGATTTTTGCTGTTACAGGTTCTGTGAAGTTGTATTTTTGCAAAAGTTTAGTTCTGCAATAATATGAAGTATAATGTTTTTTTTTAGATAACTATGAATTAACACTGCCAAAATGAAGGGCATAAAAGCACTGGAGGCCAGGAGGTCATTCTTTTAAATATCACTTATTTTATGCACTCACAGTATGCAACTATTGATATTGTTTTGTACAATCAGTCTTTATCAGAAGCCATTATATATATTTTGTAGTTTTTTATGCTACATGTATATTCGTATATGTTGTCTGTACTGCACATATCCGTCCCAATTAAACTTTTGTAATATTAAAGACAAAAGCAGCAACTACATTTATTTCATTAGTGATATGATGGCATTTTCATAACATTTCAATGCATTACTCTTTTTATTTAATTTTGGTAGGTTTTATTTTTTTTAATGATAACAGTGTAACAGAATATCTATTAAGAAATTGCATCTTTTACAACCAATATTAAGAAAACGAATTGTAGAGACTAAAGATCCTGAAGTTAACTACCTTGCTCACAGAGATCTCTCAATCCAGCTCCAGCTCACGGGTTCCCTCTTTAAGGCCCTTTTACACAAAAGCTAAAACCAAAAAGTGAAATTAATGCCTTGAACTTCATCAGCCCTGAGCCTTAAAGTAATAGTTCACCCATAAATGAAAATTATGTCATCATTTACTCACACTCAAGTTGTTCCAAACCTGAATGAATTGGAAGAAAGAAATGTATTTCTTTTGCTGAACATAAAAGAAGATATTTTGAAGAATATGGTTAAGCAAACAGTTGATGGAACCCATTGTTCCCTTTCAGTCGCTCACGTTCGACGTAGTCGAAGCGTGATTGGGATCACGCTCCGGGAGCCTGTCATCTTCGAGTACTGTTAAAACGAGCCAATGCACATTGGCGTGTGAGATCTACATCTTACACTCCGCCCCGCGGCGCGGGTATAAATACGGAAGTGGATGCACGCACCAGTTGTCTTTCGCTTCGGAGCCGATCGTTGTCGATGTCTCTGAAGAGTGTTGAAGTTTTCAACGAGCGAGTGTGTCGGTGTTCTTCTGGAAGACTTTCCCAGTGCTGGTGGTTCTACAGCGCGAGTGCAGCGGTGATCACAAGCTTCTGAGCTCTCGTCTGCTGTTTTAACAGCATAATTTCTGTGTGTTTGTTGACGGTTGGTTAGAGGGCAAAGAAGTGAGTGCTTCACTATTTCAGTTCTACTGCAAGTGAGTGCTACTGCACTTCAGAGACCTCGCTTGAGCCTCTGCAGGCAGTGAGTTAAAAAATATGTGCCCAAGGTTCCTACCTGTCCCTTTAACGGGACCAGGTGGTGAGCCTGCAAGCGCTGCCCCAGAGGAGGCAGACCCAGCCCTGGCTTTTCTCTGTCCCGTCCGCTCCTTGCAGTTATACATGGACAGAACGCAAAGCCTTAGTACCTCCGATCAGCTCTTGTCTGTTACGGAGACCAGCAGAAAGGGAAGGCTGTTTCCAAGCAGAGGTTGGCCCACTGCATATGGTTGCCATCATCTTGGTGTGTTATCCCAAGGTGCACGTGCCCCCCTGGGTAGTGAGCTCCTCCAAAGAGAGAGTATAGCTCCTGCCTAGGCGTTGATACAGAGTGCCTTGCTGACAGATGCTTTAGAGCTGCGGGCTGGATGACACCTATCACGTTCGCAAGAAAAATAGCCTACGTGTCGAACCGCTGCTTTCCGTGGGCTCCCTTCTCATGAAGCCAGTTTTCACTGTAAGCCCGGTTGGAAGTGTTGGCTTGCTGCTCGATATGTGCGCAATTCATGCTCCAGTAGAGTTCCTCTTTAGCCGAACCCTGTCGAGTTCCTCCATACCCTTCGGCTATGGCTGGGTCCATATGTTGTGGAATAGCAGTGACCTGACTTCCCTGGCCTAAGCCCTGTCCTATCTCCGCCTCAATAATGCGGGTGGATCAGAAGGCTTTTGTCTAGGCACTGGAAGGTGGCAGCACTAGTGGCGTTTTAATTGGGATCACAATCAGTCGACACGTCGACTACGTCGAATGTGAGCGACTGAAAGGGAACGTCTCGGTTACATACAGCATGTAACTCTCGTTCCCTGAAGGAGGGAACGGAGACGTAGTCCCGTCGCCACTATTGCTGGACCACCGCTGGCTCTGGGCTCCGCTCGGCTCCTCAGCGAAAAAAATCCACTTCCGTATTTATACCCGCGCCGCAGGGCGGAGTGTGAGTTGCAGATCTCGCACGCCAATGTGCATTGGCTCGTTTTAACAGTACTCGAAGATGACAGGCTCCCAAAGCGTGATCCCAATCAGTCGACACGTCCCTCAGTTTTCCCTCCTTCCCTACTAACATTCTTTAAAATATCTTCTTTTGTGTTTAGCAGAAGCAAGAAATTCATAAAACTCTCCATTTCCATGTGATCTTTAATTCAAACCAAGCAGAAAAGGGTTAAGGTAAATTTACCCATCCTTTCAAGAATACTTTCAATCATATATATTTAATTTGAATAATTTCTGTCAATGCTGGGTTGAAACAACAATAATTTCACCAATGGTAACATTAAATGTGAGTTTAAACAAGGATGCTGGCTTTGGGAATGAAATTCAAGTGTAGCTACATATTTGAGCTATAGATAATTGCAGAATTAACCAATTTCTATGTCATCTAATCTTCCAATGTCAAAATGATTAGTTTATCTGGATGTACAGAAAAGCTCGATAAGTGTTTTACAGCAGCAACTCATAGATCACTAAATCTTTCTTTCCTGCACGATTATTAATGATTTATAAAGGGGTCATGGTCTAGATCAGTCCAGCTACAGTATGATGTGGATGTTGCCTGCCTGATGTGGGATGTTTTTACCCTGCGAGGACATTTAAAACAGGGTTTAAAGGTTAGCTGCGCTAATAGACACAGACTGAGGTCAGAGATCTCTGAACAGCAGGGCAGCAGCAAGTTTTGCACAAAACCTGCAAGCCAATACTAAAAATGAGTCCGGTAAAAAAGATAGTTAAGAGGATGAAGGTGAAAAATGAACTGGCACGACAGGTTATGGGAGAGGTCTTAGGCACTTTTGTACTTCTGGTAAGTTTTTGCATAGTTTTCACTATTAAACAAACTGAGCATAGTTATTGATTTATAGATATTGTTTGTTAGCACATGTTTTTCATTAATGAAATATAAGATGTTTTCAATTTTGTAATTTAAAACTCATTATCACTATTAAAATATGTTTTTTTTAATATGGTAAAATGTGTTAATGCTTTAAAAATCATTAGATAATGAATAACATTGTTTACAGCATTTATTAGTCGAGGTTAATGTTAATTTATAAAAAAAATACTATAGTTCATTGTTAATTCATGTTTGTGCACATTATGTTAACTACTGTTAATTTATAAAATGTAAATATGGTTCAAAATAACATGAACCTAATAAATGCTGTAAAAAAAATTACTGCTCATAAGTTAAGGATAATGCATGCATTAACTAATGTTAACAAAGCGTTACGAAAATACCACATAAACATTACAAAAAAATACATTTTGTAACACTTTCCTTGATTCTCTGTTAATATTAACATGTAATTTAATAATTAAATTGAGAATTCATAAAGTGATATTTAAATGAATAAGAAAATGTGCAATGTGCTTTTTTGAAGGGCTTATGTTGAAAATGATTGTGCTTTCATATATGTTACACAATAATATAAGCATAAGTTTTACAATGGACAAATGCAAGGTTCTGTGACTGTGAGCATGTGCTTTTGCTTATATATGCTAAGAATGAGTTTATTTAGCAACGTGTGCAAGTTAGCAGAAACTTTTAATCTCAAGTAAGGTGCAGACCATAATAAAATATTCCAGTGCAGGGTCAATTTAAGAGTACTATCAGGGTTAGTACCAATAGCAATAATGTTACAACATTACTTAATATTACTATGGCTGCAATTCAGCAGGTAATCAAGCTCATGCCGACAAAAATATGTATTTGTAATTCGTTTTTCTCTGCTGTAGCTGTTTGGTTGTGCAGCAGCAGCTCAGGTGAAAACCAGCAGAGAAACAAAGGGACAGTTTCTGTCTGTTAACATGGCCTTCTCTGTTGGTGTCATGTCTGCCATGTACCTCTGCAGGGCGGTATCAGGTAAAATGGTTATAGATTGGGCTGTTTTGTGTTAAGGAGAAATCCTTTGTAATATTACCCTTTTTTGGGGACATAAACTGACTTTTGTTTTAATATATATATATATAAATCCCTCTCTCTCTATTCCTCCTGAAGGAGCTCATCTAAACCCAGCTGTGTCTCTGAGTTTCTGTGTGTTGGGAGATCTAGCCTGGATAAAGCTGCTACCCTATTCTCTTGCTCAAATATTGGGGGCTTACCTGGCTTCTGGACTTGTCTATCTCATCTACCATGGTAAGAAGAAAGAGAGAAATAAAGACATGATTTCTTTAAAGATACACCCTGTATCTTAACAGTAATTCACCATTCTATTTTTTCAGTTTTGTGTTTTTGAAAAAGAGAGGATAAAGATTATTTCTCAACCCTCCTCTCCTTCAGATGCGATCATGGAGTTCAGTGGTGGAATTCTGACTGTATTTGGTCCTAATGAAACGGCCAGTATCTTTGCAACTTACCCAACTGATGTGGTATCAGTGCAGACCAACTTCATCGATCAGGTCGGCAAAAGGCCATATCAGATTAGACAAAGCGCTGTAGTTAAAACTACTGATATAGAATAAATCATTGTAGTTGAATCTAATGCAATGCTCTAACGCAATAACACGTTGTACAACATAACACGATTTATGACACGTTTTTCAAACATTAATCAATTATCAATAGGTCTTGTCAGCATTCTGGGTCTTCTGACTAGACCATAATCTTTCTCTTGTTTGCCTGTGTGTAGGTGGTTGGCACAGCCATGCTGATGTTGTGCATTCTACCTCTGAATGATAAGAGAAATGCTCCTGCTCCTGAAGCGTTGCTTCCACCCATTGTAGCAACTGTTGTACTTGGGATTTCCATGTCAATGTCGGCTAACTGTGGAGCTGCTATAAACCCTGCCCGTGACCTTGGACCACGACTGTTCACGTTCACAGCAGGCTGGGGCACAGAAGTCTTTACGTGCGTACTTTATTAACCTATTAACAAACAGTATAGATTAATAAAAGAGATCTATCAACATCAGATTAAGTGTTTTGTTATCTATGCCCTTGCACCTCCTACCTTTTAACTAATCTCTCCTCTGATAAAGCAAATTACCGGGTATTTCATTTGCTTAACTGCCGTGTTCTATTACAGTTATCTCAGCACATTGCCACACTGGCATTTGCACTGAAGTGTGTTCTTCAGTTCTCCATACATGGTCCTTTTCAAGCCCTCTTTTTTTCTGACCCTCACAGGTGCTATGACTACTTCTTCTGGATTCCATTAGTGGCTCCTTTGGTGGGGGGCGTGCTGGGGTCCTTCATTTATCTGGTCTTCATTCAGTGGCATCTGCCTGAGCTCGAGGATGAATCTGAGTCTGAGGAGATCAAAGAGCAAACAAAGGTCATGGAGCACAACAGCAAAAAAGACGAGTTATACCTTAAAATGGCTTCTATTTAAAAGCCTGCAGGACCATTGAATCTGCCTCACAGCATTTCCAGAACCTGCTTCCCCTCTTTTCCCTATTATTTCCAGACTGTTTTATACTGTAAATAAAAAATGGGGAAATGCCACAACATAAAAACTGGGGAAAAATGTTCTCACTCATCTCTTAAAACCACGTATTATTTATTATTTCCAACCCCCTAAAGCCCCTTCCTTTAAAAGATTAAACTGGGACTTCTTTCAACTATGTGTAGAAAATTACCATCGCCTTAATCTTTCACTGTTTCATTCAGTAGATGGGAATTAAAATATTTGTATATAGTATGTACAGTGTATTAGTTATTTTAGATGATCCTCTTGTTGGAAGATGGTGGAATAGATATATTTGTTTGTTGTCTAGTGCTCTCTCATGTAAGTGAATCAATATGTTGCACGTAAATGTTGTGTCTATTACATCACAGGAATACATTAGGATGAGTGTGTGCATATTTGCTGATGTCATGTGGTGTACATTAAGTTCACAAACAAAAAGTAAAAAAAGAAATGAGTGGACCTGTCTGAAGCCCCTATTTAGCAAATATTTATCTGACTTTTAAACTTTGGGAATAAGTATATTGATTATATGTACTCAGAAGGCCACTTTACTCGCATGGTACATCCCTTTTTGAGAGAAATTATTTCACCATGCGCTAAATGAAAGACCTCGCTATTCAAAAATAGTGTCAATTATAACTGCAACCATAACACACAAATACAAGGATTTAAAATATAGAAAGAAGTCATATCTTCTGTCATAAAGGGTTCTGGTATTACTGATCAGTATAGAGCTTTTTAGGTCCTATTTGGTTTGATCTGATCATCAGAAGAGACGAGATGTACGGCCATTAACTTTTCCTTAGTTTTTGGGGTCATTCTCTCAACACATTAAAGTATACTGGCTAATAATTCTGGGCAAACTATTCTGGCATTTGCTCATAAGATGTAACAGATTGCAGATTACAGGTTGCTAGACAGAAATAATTTATAAACTACCTAATTCACTTCATTTACTGAAGTTAAACTCTTAAATCTTAAATATTCCCAGATGTGTGGGTCAACATATCCACAACAACTATATAAAATCAATTATACAGTCATTCTACAGTCATATAGTCATCACTCCCAAATTTAAGTTGGATAACAGCTCTTAAACACTATTCAGAGATCCTCGAAAATGTATGTCCTTATCCATATTGCCAAGGCCATATTAAAAGCCAAAACATTTTAATGATCAGTATCAGGGTTGCCAGGTCTGCATTTAAGCCGAATATTTTATATATATATATATATATATATATATATATATATATATATATATATATATATATATATATATATATATATATATATATATATATAAAAGTTTATTTATATAGGGACAGTAAAAAAAAAAAACATGATTCCAGTCAAAAACTGGAAAATATGTATTGCACATCGAGAGTACAGCACTAGCTAATGCGTCTCGGGTCCCTATAAAGGCTTTTCTAAAAAATAAAAAAAAAACTTGAATATGAATAATCTAATCATAGAATAAAACTAACACAGCACATTCAAATACATACCTAAATTACACATTCAAATACATAGGCCTACCTAAATTACCTGTACCTATGGTAAGGATGCTTCCAACCCTGGCATGAATAACTAAATAAAACAAACATTTATTAAATTTAAATATGCGTGCAGTTCTGGTTTATTTGAAACCACCACTTTACCTTCAATGTAAAATACTTTATTTTACGTACTGCCTTAAACTCATTTGGCAACAGGTTCCAGAGTTGGGAGCCCTGTACAGAAAAGGCTCTTTGCCCTTGTGTAGTTCTACGGAAATCAATCCTACAATTCCCACCTGCTGTACTCCTAGTGATTCTACTTGTATCATCCTGTCTCTTTATCAATTTACAGAGAACAGATGGTGCCTTATTGTGCAAACATTTAAAAACAAATTTTGTACATGACACATTTTTTAAAATTGTTAAACTTAGATGACACATTCTTAAAATTTGTAAATATTTTTTTTAAATATTGCAATGATGCCATCAATTTGGCTTTTTATTCATTATTTTTAGAGCCAGATTATACAATGTTTCAAGTTTTTTAATTAGGGAATCACTTGTTTGAGTCCAAACTGTAATGCGGGACAAAATCATTGCATTCATAAAAAGATGAGCTGCCTCAATTGAGATGTATCGTCTAATAAGTTTAAAACAATTTAGGTTAATCCTTACCGTTTTTGAAAATTTGAAATTTGAAAATCAAATTTAATTTGTGAATCTAAAACAATACCTAAAAAATGTAACTCATCTACCTCCTCTATTTCTTCGTTATGAACCCGAATTGTTACTTTTGCTTTTTGCTTTCTATTAGAAAAGCACATAAAAACAGTTTTCTTAACATTCAAAGTAAGATGATTTTCCTGGAGCCATAGATATCCTTTCTATTTGTTCATTTAAAATTGCAGCAACATTGGCAGATGACTTAGCAGATGTATAAATTACTGTATCATCAGCATAAAGCTGACATTGTTAACATATAAATGTTAACTATGTGTTCACCATGTATCTAGCGATGTGTGTTTATGCTGATGTAAATATAAAAAATGGTTTGTCTTTTTAAATCTTCTTGTCATTATATTTATTGAGTTGGCTCAATGCGTTTTATGTTTTGCACTTCAGAATTGTGAAGCACCGATGTTCCCTCGTTTTTGTGCTGCATTGTGGGATTTTCATGGTGCAAACATTCCATTGCGCTTGAGGATGTTTATACGACAACTAAAAACTACAAATATACTAAAAATAGAAACGTTTTTTTCTTTGCATTTTTTTGTGTTCAAATTTGTTTATTATTAGGATAAACCCCTTGAGATGTATCATCTCATTTTCGAGGGGGTCCCAACATATAACACAATAATTACATAACAATAAAGAAGTGAAAAATCAAAACAAAACAAACAAACAAAAACAACAACAAAACAAAAACAAACAACAACATGCACCCACATATGTTCATCAATAAATTATGACCACCAAAAGGCCAAGATGGCCAATAAGGAGTAAAGTAAAGTACAAATGAATTACTAACTACAGTCAAATATAAACATTAGGTATGGACAGTAGATCAAAAATTACATGCATCTTTAGAAACAGAGGCAATTTATTTTAAAGTGAGCAGACAGGGCATGTTTAAAAAATAAGAAATTGATTTTATTTCCACAGATAGTGTAACGTTTCTGGGTTGTAGAAAGTGCACGACAAAGGACTTGTAGATAATCAAGGAATTTAGTAGACACAGGAGTAACACATACACATTACCACAAATAATGACCAACACTGACATGAGAGGAACTTAAATACACAGAGGAATGATGAGGACAACAGCTGAAGACGGTGAGTGGTGATGATGATTGCTGGCAGGTGCGGGTAATGGTGAAGGATGTGCAGGTGTGAAGACAAGAAGGATTCTGGGAAGTGTAGTGCAGATGAAGACATGGTGCAGACGAAGACAATGGGTGCTTCTCAATATCCCTCCTCGTCTCCTCGCTCCTCCGTCCTCCATCCTATGACCCGGAAACCAATCGAGCTCAGCCATCTTGAAGGACATCTCAATTCTCTGATTGCACCGCGAGGAGGCGAGGATCGAGGAGTGAGGAGGCTTCCAGAGGAGCTATGAGCGAGGATACACAGGTGTACCCTTTGCGGAAGAGTTTTATCGACTAAACATGACGCACGTATCAATTCTCCTCCCCCTTCACATCTGTCACAAACATTTGAATTTATACTTTACTTTTGTAGTTTACATAAACCACACAACTCACATATTTCAACAAGGTATCTAGCTTTATTATTATTTATTATAAATTTCTTAAATAAACAAACTTTAACAACATAAGGGCAGATCCTTTGAACACTGCTGATGACGCAGTGAAGTGACGCTCGAGTGATCAAGTATTCCAATGTATAAAAAAAGCTTTCATTCAATTCCTCCGTCCTCATTTTTTTCCCTTGCAGCCTTCCCTCGTGTCCTACAGTGGGTGGAGCTGAGACGCAAGGAAAGGAAGCGAGGAAAGGAAACGAGGATGCACAAATAAGAATTGAGAAGCACCCTGTGACAGATAGATTATCCCAATCAGCTGAAGCCTTAAACTTAAAAGCTCTTTTGACAATTGTTTTTTTAACTCGCGGGACAGAAAAGTAAAGTTGAGTAGAGTGCTGAACTTCATATTTTGATGTATAAGGTACAAGATACTGTTTTAAATGAGGAGGATAATTGAAATAAATGCATTTAAATTTTAGTTGAAGCCAGTGAATATGTCTTCTGCTATAGAGATTGCCAATTAAGTGCATTATACATTATACAGTGATGAGTGAGATAAGGACATTCGAGAACAAATCTGCAAAGTCTATTATATACTGTTTTAAGTGGAACAAGGTCTGAGTTAAATGCATTTTGATATACAACATCACAGTAATCAATAATTGGAAGTATAAGTTGAGAGGCAAGTTTTAATACGAAAACTGCGCGTAAAGCAGTTTCGAGCACGATTATAAAATGTTGATACCAAAGTTCACTTTACGTAACACTTGCTCGATGTGAAATTTGAATGAGAGTTCAGTATCCAGCCACACACCAAGATATTTAATCTTATCAACTGTATACAGACAAGAGCCATTATTACATTTTATTACACAGGAACCAGATTTTGATTTGAGTTTTTGTCTAGTGTCAAAGATAATATAATATGACTTTGTTTTGTTAAGCAGTAATTTATTATGTAAAAGCCAATCTTGAAGGATAATGAAGTCAGACTGAAGAGAAGCTTGAAGTTGTGGTAGATTATGTTTAGATATATATATATATGTGACAGTATCATCGGCATACAGTTAAACAGTTATTAAAAAGTGATGGTAAATCATTTATATAAATAGAAAAAAGAAGTGCTCCCAATGTTGAGCCCTGAGGCACTCCTCTATCTTGAGTCAAAAAATTCTGATTTACTTCCATGTAGGACTACACATTGTTTTCTATAATGTAAGTATGAATTAAACCACAAAACTGGATTTTCAGAGAGGCCGATATCATAGCTTGTCTAAAAGGAAATAACGATCAACAA